TCACCAGCCGCTCCTTGGAAACCCTATACAGGGTCGCTGTGAGTCAGAACCAACCTGACAGCACGTAACAACACCCTTCTTATCATCCATATACAATTATCATTAAAAGACTTGGAAATTTCAGAAAAAATAGAAGGGAAATAGCCATATAGAACCACTGATAGCATTTTGAGATATTTTCTTCTAGAATTATTTATTTCAAGTCTTTTCTGGCTGTTTCTTTTCTATCTAACATCTAATTATTGTACCTTTAAAATTTCATGTAGAATTACAAGAACATTTTGACTTATATTACAGATACTCATTGTACATTTATAAACATCTTAAATGTCTGCATCATATTTCAGGGTTACTTGGACAACAAAGGTCTAACCAAATTACATATAATGTCCAGAGATGAACATCTTTGTGCACAAAGCTTTTTTCTATTCTTATAGTCATTTTCTTTGACAAGACTCCTGGTGCCACTGAGTTGGTTCTGACTCATAGTGACTCTGTAGAACAGGATAGAACTGCTTTAAATTTTCTAAGGCTGTAAATCATAGAAGCAGACTGCCTTAGCTTTCTCCTGAAAAACCGTTGATGGGTTTGAATCTCCAACCTTTCAGTTAGCCGCTCAATGCTTAACTCACTGTGCCTCGGGAGAACTGGTTTGACACAGATTCTCTCTTCTGTGTTGAATGGTTGTTGTTCACATTTGGTTCTCCTTTTTCCCAATATCTAGACCTTATTTTCCAAAGATTCTGATATAGTTAACCTGGTATGGAGTTTCAGATTGAATTGCTGTATTTTTAAAAGCTCTCCATGTGATTCTAATGAGTAGAAGGGGTTCATAACCATAGGAATACCATGGAGTCAAGACTGTTGTTTTTAAGTGCCGTGGAGTTGGCTCAACTGCACAACAGAACAAAACTCTGCCTGGTACGGCACCATCCTCACAATTGTTGTTATGCTTGGGCCTAGCACTGCTGCTACTGTACCAATCCATCTTGTTGGGGGTCTTTCTATTTTTCGTTGACCTTCTACTGTACCAAGCATGATGGCCTTTTACAGGGATTGGTCCTTCCTGATAACTTGTTCAAAGTATGAGAGACAAAGTCTCACCACCCTGGCTTCTAAGGAGCATATCATGGCTGTACTTCTTCCAACACAGATTTGTTTGTTCTTCTGGCAGTCTATGATACTTTTAATATTCTTCTCCAACGCCATAAATGAAATACATCAATCCCTCTACATTCTTCCTTATTCATTGTTCAGCTTTCACATGCATTGTGAATGAATGCTATTGAAAATATCATAATTTGGGTCAGGTGCACCTTAGTCCTCAAACTGACATCTTTGCTCTTGAATACTTTAAGAGATCTTGTGCACAGATTTGCCTAATGCATTATGTCATTTGATCTCTTGACTGCTGCTTCTATGAGTGTTGATTGTGGATCCAAGCAAAATGAAATCTTTGACAGCTTCAACTTTTTATCCATTTATCATGATGTTCTCTATTGGTACACTGTAATTTTTGTTTTCTTTACATTGAAGTGCAATCCATACTGAAGGCTGTGGTCTTTGATCGTCATCAGTAAGTATTTTAAGTCATTTTAGCTTTCAGCAAACAAGGTTGTATCATTTGCATATTGCAGGTTGTTAATGAAAGTTTCTCCAATCTTGATGCCATGTGCTTCTTCATATAATTCAGCTTCTCAGGTTACTTGCTCAGCACGCAGATTGAATAAGTAAAGTGAAAGAGTACAACCCTGACACACACCTTTCCTGATTTTAAACCATTCAGTATCCCCTTGTTTTGTTTGAATGACTGCCAATTGGTTTACATACAGGTTCCTTGTGAGTACAATTAAGTGTTCTGAAATACCCATTCTTCACAGTGTTGTCCGTAATTTGTCATGATCCACATAGTCAAAAGTCTTTGCATAGTCAATGAAGCATAAGTAAACATCTTTCTGGTTCTTTTAGCTAAAGTCTAGTTGATGGCAGCAATGATATCCCTAGTTTCATGTCCTCTTCTAAATCTGGCTTGAATTTCTGACATTTCCCTGTCAGTGTACTGTTAAAACCATTTTAGAATTATCTTCAGCAAAATTTTACTTGCATGTGATATTAATGGTATTATTTCATGATTTCCACATTCTGTTGGATCCTCTGTCTTTGGAATGGGCACAAATGTGGATCTCTTCCAATCGGTTGTCCAGGTAGCTGTCTTCCAAATTTCT